GCTACTGAAATTTTGCAGATATTGTAGGGCAAATTTAAATTTTGAACAAAAAAAATTGTGCCCTTCAAGTAGAACTCCTTAAGTTGTATTACCATTAGCCCTCCGCTGGACTTTGTTTTGAAGGGAGCTCACGGTGAAATGTGGTGCTATAGCCGAAGACATGTGCGGAAGTGGCAAGAAAATATGTAATTTGATAGTCCCGCGGGTTGCGCAAGTGCAGGATCACACTTATTTGACATTTGGGTGTGAATCAGGCCCTTGAAATGGGTGTGATCACTGGTGGTGCGTGCCAGTGGCTTGTATTGATCTTAATATGCTAAGAGTGTATGTGCGAGGTTTGTACTTGTGAGAGAGTACATTGTTTTGGTATTCTTTGAATCTAATGACTCCCAATGAAATGTGATATACTGATACCTGCCTCTATCTTTAGTTTCGCGTTTCAACACGACACGGTAGTGATGTCGGCAAGTTGAAAAAAACACTAGCATCCATGCTGCAGGGGTGTTCAAAGGCATTTTGCTACTTCATTATAGTCTTGCCAACATTTTGAACCTATTGAGGTATATACAGTATGTAACCAATCCATTGCATGTCATTATGTTAGCAATTTATTTGGGCAGTGCGGACAGATCAGCACAGCTCATTAATGCACATGCCCCGTAAAAGCTCGCATGATGCAGCTTTGCAAAACTGTCTTTCACTTAAGGATTCTCAAAAAATAGTGTCGTATTATTGTAGATGCACATACTACTGTATCAGTGAATTGTGTATGCAGGCAAGCGTTGCTTGTAAGTCATCATTGTCATAGTCACTGCAACTTGTGTGAGATGCTGGGTGCTGGGAAATGTGGAGAAATGTTGCTGTTGGTTTCTTGGATAGCACTTGATGATATTTTCATCATGAGCCTTGTGTGCACCGGCAGCTTCATCACTTCCTTGCATTTCGCCCATCTAACCATGACTACGCGCACTTGTCATGTCTCCAGCTTTGTGCAAGTTCAGCAGGTTTTCAGTGTTATTTTGCTACATGTAATATTTTCTTGTTATACATGTGTTATTATTTGTGAACAATATTTTTGAGTGAAGCAGCCTGATGGCTGCAGCGTGTTGCATGGCTGTGGAAGCAGAAGACGTGTTTGCATGCTTGTCATCTATGTTTTGTGGGTTCTCAAGAAAGGCTGAGCAAGTAATGTCATTTATTGGTTGTGTTCTTTACTGAAAGTGATTTGTATATTGTATCATGTGTTTAGGTCAGTCATATGTCATATGCGGAGTTAATACAAGAACGCGTGCTTGACCCATTTTTTCATGATAAAACTGATTATGAATGCAGCAGGGATCGCAGTACAGAAACCATACCGTTGTTGACTATGTCATGCCACATTACAGCACTGAGGTAGTTCCACGATGACACTGTTGACCCGTGCCATTACACGATGCACCACATTGGTTGGCTACTCTATATCAAGCCTATGAGATAACAGCTTATATTTTATGAATGACTGGTAACAACCGATTAAGGACACCAAAAGACTATCACCAGCGCGAATGATTGGCACCACAATAGTTATATCAGGGTTAACCGATAATTGCATTAATAATCCTAAACAAGAAAACCATCATTGGTAGCTCAACCTTGCCATCTTTACCATAGAAATAGGAATGCTTTGTTAATCAGTCCATAGCAATGCTCCTGATTTATTAATTTTTGCAAGTAACTGGATTTCCAGCTACAAATGATAAAGAAAGTAACTTCTGTGCACATCACATATCAATATCAGGACTACAGCACTGCACGCAAGGACAGTACGGTATTGACATCCTCAACAGTCCTTGGCAGCTTTCGGCAAGAGATTCATTACAGCATGTGGCAATTTTCCCAGCACATCGTGCTTTGATATTGATAATCTGCCCTAAAAGCTGGCGATCGCCATGTTGCGTGCGTCAAGCAACCCACCAAAGCTTCTCTTACGACCAGTACCAAGACAAAAAATTCACAAACAAGCCATTCATTGATCCGCCACCTAACACAGCGCCCGCGACGAGAATGGCCGGTTGGCGTCAGCTTTCGTGCGTTTTGAGGCATTCTTTAGGCCGGCTCGATTCCATGACGCCATCAAACAATGACGTGATGGAGTGCGTTTTTGCAAACTTTGAAATTTTGCTACTTAGGGTCATTTTTGAACCTTGAAAGCTTACCAATAGTCACAAGTAAGCTTTTGCCGTCGCATCTGATGCTCATCTCAATATATTAATGTGGAAGATTCCCTTTAAGAGACTGCCCAAACCGTGGAAGCTCAGCAAACTTTCTAGGCGGACGGTCTGTCTTTAAATGGTTGACATAAGGGCTAAGTCAGTATAAAATGCATTGGCTGCTCACGTATTCCGTCGATGTTATCTATGCAAGATCTACCTTCATAAGGTCAAAATTTGGAAGACGCCCGAATGGTGCAGACTGCGGCATGATTTGTGACAGGTTTGAAATATCCTAAATGTGAATATCCATGAGTGTTCCAGTGTCCCATCAAATCAATGAGTGTTCCAGTACTTAAGGAATCGTTTAAAGATTCTCTAGAATTCCGGTTTGGCTAGGACATTGGAACCTTTTTTATTTGTAGATGGATTTAAAAAGACCCATTATGTCTTAGGCGCCGAAGAATTGTTTGGGACCCAGGACCTTTTCATTTTTCGGCTGTTTCTGTTCGCATACATAAACTCATTTTTAGGATTTTGAAAAGATCAATTCCTTTTATTGTGTAGAGACCCGGGCTTCATTTTTAGATTGATACACATGCCTGCTGGGAACCTCCCTCCCTCCCAAAATCTCCAGAATCCATCAGGACTCTTCTCTTGGATCACCTCTCTTCTTATGTGTTGCAGGCGCTTCTCACCAAGCACCCGGCTGATATACTCACGTCTCTTGGCACGCACCCGACGTTTTATAATCTGCGCAGTAAAACATAGCTTATCTGAATGCCACCATCATCAAAAGCTGATTTCACCGTCCTTCAGCGCCGTACGTAAATCGTGGCCCACTAGCTCGCGTCAACATTGTTATAGCGTGTTCCCGATTGCCTCCCGGCTCCTCCAGGTACCACATGACAATTCCACTGTGAAAAGATTAGCTTAGTATGGGCCACTACCGGTTCGGCTTACCACCTATCGTCTCTCATCAAAACGTGCCATATGTTCCTCAGTCACCCGTCTCATGTGCTGCACCACGTTGTTTCCAGTGTGTGAGTTCTGTCTCAGAACCTTGCTGCTGTCCGGCAGCCTTTGCCCGACGCCTCGTAGAAAATTGCACAATGTCCTCAAAGGCCTTCAGCTTCGATATTTGCGTCATGTCAGGTGGCCGCAAGTATCGTCACATTTCGGACATGTGAGCCCACGTGAGCTTGCGCACTACCCACCAGGCCCATAAGCTCCACTTCCACGACAATGTCCGGTACAAATTTCACTCTACCGTTGAATCATAGACCTTCGCTTGGAAACTTCTCACAAACTTTTACCCGCGCACCAGAATGGGTCCCCGGAACACTGATATAGCGTCGCTGCGCGAAGCCGGCCAACGCCACCGCTTTCCCAGATAGTGCTGCTCTCTAATGGGTTTCTGCTTGCCATCCGCAGTTTGAATATGCTTTCTGTGAGTTCGAAGGTTTTGGGATTGGTCGACGCGTTTGTGGTGCACGGTAGGCGTCTGAGATCATGGCTCCGCCACTAGTCATTGCTGACGCGCAACTCACAATAGTATTTGTATTGGATAACTTGCTTCTCTGTAGTGCCTAAACTTCCCTGCAAGATTTACACAGCCCTTACGTGTTCATAGCGTCTGTGACAGTTATGTCTTCTTCCGAAACCATAGAAAATGCCCGCTATTCAGCATGGTAGCGTGATTAACACGCGGTCGTCACGACAGGCTGGTTTAAATAACTCCTTCCCAGTTTCTGGAATTATTTCCGTACCGTGCCACGCCGGTCTATAATATCTTCAGTACCTGACAGGTGGTCAATTCCAGACATTCTAGAACACAGGATGTCAACGTCAAGTTAGATGACTGAGTTACGACGCTATCACCGAGGGCGCGCTGCTATGCGACTTTCGCCTGCACATGCAACGACTCGCAGTTTCCGTTCCTGTTTTAGATCGTCCTGGTGGCATTCATCGACTAGTTTGACGCTCCGCCAATCAGTGCCAGCGTCAGTGCCAGTGTCAGTCACTCTACATGGAGTCACGCTGGCCTACCACCAGAAGTCATGAGCTCATCTAGAAGTGTCAAACTATGGTGACTTGCTACGTCCGCTTGCAGTAAGATGAGCAGAACGTGCACGTTCCCGCACACATGGCACATGTGCTGTGGATTGGAACGGTAGGTAAAGACAAGAAGACCTTCTCTTAACATTATGCTACACTCACCTGGTTTGACCTTCACATTTTGTCCTTGCAATCTTCATGAAATTATTGTGCAGCTGAAGAGTATGTCCTTTCGTTTGGGAATGATTCAATGATAGACGAGCATTGTCACGTGTCCTAGAAGGATGTTAGGTCGTTCTAAAATTGAATTATTATGATTGTTTAGTGTTTCGCTTGACCTGTAGCGTTAGCAGTCAGGCTGGAGGTGTCAATTTGACGATTCACAGTTGAGAATGACCACGGATAACTTATTTAATTTTTCCGGCCTGACGACAAAGTCCTGAGATACCATGGACAAATGTTCACCTCTCGGGCGGTCGCAAGTGGCGGGATACCCCAGGCGCGTGGTACCGGTTCAACGTCATGTGATGCCGTTGCCACAAACGCGCTGGAGCCGTGAGGCGGGTCCTTTTGCAAGTACACCCAGTCGGTCACGGCACGGCGCGTCACTAAATCGCCTACGTTCGCCGTGCCGTGTGCTGTGCACGGCGCTCACCTGCTACCAGAGATCAGCGCCGTCTTGCCGTGCCGTGTGCTGTGCACGGCGCTCACCCGCTACCGGAACTCAGCGCCGTCTGGCCGTGCCGCCAGGTGTCGTGGATCCGGCAGGAGGACCTCCACATCCTCACCATCGGTCGCTACACGTACACCACCGACCTGCGCTTCGAGGCTCTGCACGAGCCGGGCAGCGCGTTCTGGGCGCTGGCCATCCGCGGCACCCGTCGCAACGACTCGGGCCTTTACGACTGCCAGATCAGCACCAAGCCCGTGCTGACGACCACAGTACGGTTCAGCGTCATCGGTGGGTCCGAGATCGGTGGTGGCGGCTGAGTGTCACCTCTAGTCACTTTGTGTTTGGTTTTTGGCCGATACCGATTAGGATTCTGTTGGACAAGCAGGCGGGTTTCGGTACAAGGCAACGAACTTTAGTGATTTCATTGAAAAATGCACTAGGTGTTGGCGCTAAATCGTGCTAGTAATCACTGGACAATTTTGGCCACAGCAATGATATAGGTATCGGCGATTCGTTGGTGTTTGGTCATTGTTGGTCACTTACGATTACGATCACTCGCGATGCCGGCAGGCACGACTACAGACGATATATGACTCTCAGGTTTGTCTGACCTGTCATGAGCGATGGGCATGCCCCCTCCCTCCCCCTCTAGCTCTTCTCTGCATCCTTGCCACTTCCAAATGAGGGGTGTACACATCCAGCCAACATCTCTGTGTTATATTAGTCAAGAATATCAGGCTTATTCAAACCATAAGAGCACCAAGATGTAACGGCGTTCGGGTCGTTCTGAAATGGTCATCAACGCTGCAACTTAGACTTCAGGCTGATTATGAATTTCCCGATTTATGCTGACGAATCCGTGCGTGGTGTCATCAAGTATCATTAGGCGTTGTGAAAGAAAGGCCTGTCAATTTTGCTGTCTTGATTCACTCACGATTCACATTGCTATTTGATTGGCTTAACGCGCTTCACGTGCCAAAAGAGCATGGATTATTCAAAACCTCTCGTGTGCCGGTGCTTAGTTCGTCGATAGAACTCCTGGCGTCTGATTACAAGAGCACTGAGCTGTTGACAGCGCCATGCCGTGCATGGCATGCCGTGACGGGCATGTGACCCTGTCAAGGGCCTCTCCGGCGATAAGCTGGCCGTGGCCGGTGGATCCAGGATCCCGCGACACGCGAGCCAGTGGACCAGGCTGACTCGGCAGCTGACGGTGCCAGACCGTGGCGCGCCCGCCTCCCAGGACCAGCTCGCCGCCCCGCCGGAGAGCTGCCTTTATTAGAGGCTAGTTAGTTTCCATTAGCGGCGATATATACATATATTCCTGGGCGGTGAGCGGCGCAGGAACTAGACACAATCAGTCCTGTCGATATGACTCATTGTTTTCTGGTCTGTTCGTCATGATAGGTTCACGTCCTGCTCTCTTGGGCGCCAGTGTAACCGCTCATCTGGTCTGTTCGTCATGATAGGTTCACGTCCTGCTCTCTTGGGCGCCAGAGTGGCCGCTCATCTGGTCTGTTCGTCATGATAGGTTTACGTCCTGCTCTCTCGGGTGCCAGAGTGGCCGCTCATCTGGTCTGTTCCTCATGATAGGTTTACGTCCTACTCTCTTGGGCGCCAGAGTAGCCGTTCATTTGGTCTGTTCGTCATGATAGGTTTACGTCCCTCTCTCTTGGGCGCCAGAGTAACCGCTCATTTGGTCTGTTCGTCATGATAGGTTCACGTCCTGCTCTCTTGGGTGCCAGAGTAGCCGCTCATCTGGTCTGTTCGTCATGAAATCATCGCGTTTGCAGCTCTACAAACTAAACTAACAGACCAACGGGTTCCAGTCACCCGTGTTCGTTTGAAGGGTTAAACGTGCAGAGCCGGGGAGGCACGGTGTCCAGCACTTCTCTGCTGAACTACACCCGTTTCCAAAGCTATGCATCAAGCTCCGGCGGGTCAGTGGATCCAGACATCTTTTTGTATCAGCACAGTGGATCTGATGTATGGAATCTTAACAATATTCTATATTTCTACTTAAAATTTATATTTCTAGTTTTAATACACGTGGGCTAATGACATGCATTCCGCCAAAGGGCGTTGATCTCCCTCAATTTATATTCATCATTCTATAAGAGTCCTTTGGCACCTCACTTAGATCTGATAGCCAGTCTGATACTGGCTTAGCCACAGACTAGACATGCTGTGCAAATTCAAAGGTGCCTCTGGCCTCTGGTCATCGTTGACAAAGCAGACTGTGCTGTTTTTAGAATGGAATTAGATCTATGACTTAACAAGTGATCTTTAAACTAACATAAAGAATCGGAGACTAAAATGTTTTCAGCATGCGAAGCCTGTTGATAACCATCTTTTTCGTTTTTTGCGTACTCTTCCCTCCAGACAATATTTTGATGCCTGTTGGGCGCCATAAGTTGGCTCCGCCACCTTCATAGCAAATCACGGACTATTGGCGGAGGGGATCGCAAGATATATGAAAAGTGATATAAGGATCTCGCTTATACATATATATATATATATATATATATATATATATATATATATATATATATATATATATACATGCGCGAGCGCGCGCGCGCGCGCGCGCGCGTGTGTGTGTGTGTGTGTGTGTGTGTGTGTGTGTGTGTGTGTGTGTGTGTGTGTGTGTGTGTGTGTGTTGTTATAGGGCTATCACATGCCGTCGGAGGCAATATGATTACAGCTTCAAAGAAAAGTCAAACGAATACGATCAGGATGCGTTGCCATCTAGCAATCATAACTGTTCGTTTTCAACACTTTGGCACGTTGCATAGGTTTTGACATTTGTTTATCGGCGCATGAATTCAGCGTTGTGTTTTCGGATTGCGTTGTTATCCCGCCAAACATATCGCTACAAAGTAATTCCAAAAATGAGATCACTACAACCGGCGATACCACCCCCTCATTGATCCCATGCGAGCCAGTACATACTGAGCACACACGGCTCGGTCGCCCATGACCCCACGACCCTGTCACCGGTCCCAGTGACCAGCCCAGACCGCGCGTTACAGTGCCCGAGACCCGGATCCTGGGCGCCAGCAGCGTGTTCATCCAGCGAGGCAGCGACGTGAACCTAACGTGCACGGTCAGCTACAGCCCGGAGCCTCCCGAGGCCGTCCAGTGGTGGCTCGACAACAGGGTACGTCACCGCCCTAACGTGCGCGGTCAGCTACAGCCTGGAGCCGGCCCAGGCCGTCCAGTGGCGGCTTGACAACAGGGTACGTCACCGCCCTAACGTGCGCGGTCAGCTACAGCCTGGAGCCGGCCCAGGCCGTCCAGTGGCGGCTTGACAACAGGGTACGTCATCGCTCGACTCACGCCTCGGCGGCGGCCAGTGGGCGCACGGCGGACAGGGTCGGCAGCCTGCTATTTCCGTGCCTGTATTTGATTTAGCGGACAGCAGGTGCCCGCCTCGTTGACAGCCCCAGTCACGTCTGAGGATAAGTCGGCTCAGATGTGTAGCGCATTCGCTCATATAGTTTGCTGCTCTGCCGCCCTGTATATGCCGATCGAAATCCCGCTGGTGCTACCTTCTGGCACAGTCTCCCATTCTTGTTAAAAGCAGCAAAGCGCCTTGTGAAGATGGTCGCTTGGAACGTTGGCAAACGGATGGTGTGTTATATCTGAGACAGCCGTGAATAAGTTTTGCCAACGACAGTGGCTTGGCCGTCGCTCGCGGCGTGATTTTTCGGCGGCTCCGAGTCAGCCGACGTCAAGGTTTCGCCGCTGACGTCCGAACCGGCGACACGTGTCGGCCCTTGATCTGAAATACCCTAAACTGACATCAGCCGGCGGTCATTGGCGGCGACGCGCAGTCAATCGAGGAGAAATTTGTCACGGGGAGGTTGTTGAAAAATCTGCCTTTTAACCTGATGGGGCTGGTGCCCGACCTTTCTGCCAGCAACCCGCTGCGTACAATAAGACGTCCAGCAACGTCAAACTTTCTTGATCTATCCAAACGTGACGCACCCAGATGGACCGTGTGATGCGACTGCCATTGGGCGCCGCTGTCTGCAGACGGTGGCCTTCAGCTCCGCTCGCGGCGGCATCAGCGTCATCACCGAGAAGGGCCACCGGACCACGTCCCACCTGCTGATCCAGCGGGCCGGCAGCCGGGACTCGGGTCGCTACTCGTGTCACCCGAGCAACGCCCAGCCGGCCTCCGTGACCGTGCACATACTGGCCGGTGAGTGACGCCCCCGAGAGGCTCATGCCGCTGGGGTGGCGCCGTCCGTAGCGTCTGCCGTCGTCCTCCGCCGTCGCAGTGGCTTCCCGCCCTGGAAAGGGACAGGCCACTGCGTGATGTTTGCCGCGCGAGTTTTGAACAGTCGGGTGATGTCTTGCGGACACGCTCGAGTGCAAACTAGCGCGCTGACATTGGCCGCTGGCTCGGCAGGCGAGCAGCCGGCAGCGATGCAGAATAGCGGCGCCTCGCTGCCGTCGGGCCGGAGCGCCGCGTCGGCTGCCACGCTGCTTTGGCTTCTCCTGCTCCGCAGAAGACCGCCCGGTATCAGGTGATCTCAGGTCAAGGTCACCGTCTCAAGTAGCGGGGGCGCTGTGGAACTGAGCCGTGGCAGTGGACGCCGACCTGAGCCGTTGTCGGGTCCGGCCAGCGACGTTCGACCGAGCTCTGCGTGGAACTGGAGCGGTCTGGCGGCAGGTGGAGCGTCGAGCTCTGTGTGAAACTGGAGCGCTCCGGTCGCAGGTGGAGCGCCGAGCTCTGTGTGGAACTGGAACGATCCGACGGCAGGTGGAACGCCGAGCTCTGTGTGGAATTTGGGCGGTCCGGTGGCAGGTGGAGCGTTGAACTGGGCGCTAGCAAACCACTCACAGCATCGCAAAGCGCGAAGGTGGAGCGGGAGCGAAGCGGGACACCGCGGCCGAGCGCCATGCATGCTCCGATTATGCATAGCAGATGTGTGGTTGGCATGAGGTGAGAGGTTGATCGATCTAGCTTTGCCTAATGTGCTATTTTTTGGGATGACAAACTCATGCGTTGTGATGGCGCCGTGGGTGGTTGAAATGACGTGGTATTCTCATTCTAAGACTGAGGCTCACTGCGTTGAGCGCTCGAATTGTTTTGCGTGTCTAAATGATAACGACGAAAGTACCAGACTGCACTGGATCAATTACCTTCTGGAACTCAGCTTTTATACAATTCCTTTGCTTCTGAAAGGATGTCTTTCACTCCACGGACTTTGCTCCTTGTTTGGCGTGCAAGTGCTTTGATCATTGACGCGACTGTTAAGGAGGCTCATCAGGTCTTTTGCAATACTCATGTTCTTCGTGTCATATTCTCGCCACAGGACGCGATTCCAGACAAAGTACGGCCACTTTATGGCGGCACGAAATTACGAGCACGGCAAAACGGCTACTGGAGGTGAGCATCAGTCGTGATGCGATGTGTGCAAATGAGACGTGAAGCGCACCGGAACCAACAAACCATTATTTTAGGCGAGCTGGTGGCAGGCCCGTCTGTTATTAATGTCTCAAGTCGGCGACATTTTACGATATTACGAATAATGCAGCGGTATCGACAACACGGTACATTGGTCCGTGACTTCCGTTTGCTCACATGTCTCACTGTCAGGATGCTCCTGCCGAAGCTGTCTAACCATTGTAGGCATTCGGGAGTTCTTTGTGGGATTCGTTCCCGATGACACGTTTGGCCATCAGTGTGTCATGCCCTAATGTTTCCGGACGCACTCGTGAGGACTTCAGAGGATACTGGAGAGATCCAAACGACTTTATGATCTGAGTCACGTGATATGTTTTGTGTAAGAATGCAACCATCGTAAGTTTTCTATGTGCTTATGTGCCGTCAGCATTCCCGACGTCGTGTTTGAGAGCTTGAGGAAATACCAGGGGTGACTCATGATAGTTGTCATGCGTCAGAACCATGAGTTGCTTGTGTGGTGGGTTCTCTTTTGATAGGTTAGCAACATTTTGTGTGTGTTTGGTTTGAATAAAATTAAGCTGAAAAGATACTGGTGTCGGACTGCATCTGTGAATAAGCATCATGTACACTAACCACACGAACTCCAATACATCGATTGACGCAGATGCATGTTTTATGGTTATTCTCGGTTTTATTTTTATATGTGCAGTGTGCGCCTTGTGGATGTGTTGAGATTACGCAGTCACCTTTTAGTTTGAAAGCCTTACTCATAACTTAATAACAAGCGATAATAACAGCCACCCCGAGCACAATTTCGAAGGGAAATCAAAAGCGCTTATATCGTTAAGTGCTCACTAACTCTCCCAGCCAATCGTTGACTGAGCCCGATACGTTTTCATGCGGCTCAGTGGCGTCGATTGAAACCGGGACCTGCCATCCAATATCTGCCGGTACCGTAATGGGTGTTCGCCAACCACATGCACAACACACATGGCGAGTCACGAGGATACGAGACACGACGGGACCCGCCTGCAGCCTCTGACCTGTGGCGATGTGCGAACCCACCTGTGGCCTCAGGGCTGCGGGGATGCGCGAACCCACCTGCAGCCTCTGACCTGTGGGGGTGTGCGAACCCACCTTCGGGCTCCGAGCTGTGGGGACGCACGAACCCACCTGCAGCCTCTTAGCTGTGGGGATGTGCGAACCCACTTGCAGCCTCTGAGCCATGTGGATGTGCGAACCCACCTTCGGGCTCTGAGCTGTGAGGATGTGCGCGCGGATTCCTCCGTTTGCCGCCACCACAGTGTGGGCGAGGCGGCAGCTGCGACACTGACCGCCATTGACACCGTTCCAATCACAGCCCACATGCAGACGGCGGCCGGTGGCCGGCCTATCAGCCGCAGCCGCTGCCTTCCCAGCGGGCGGGCCCGAGCGATGACGGCGGCGACATCTCTCTGCGGTCGCGAACAGGCGTCCAGCGTGACAGCCGTCCCAGGCGGAACTGACACCGGGGGGGGGGGGGGGGGCGAGCCGCTCCGACCGAGTGCCGTCAGCGGTTCGCGTTCCCGCGGTGGGCCTGCGCAGCCACGCCGCCGTCATTACCGTCTCGCTCTCCTCCGTTCTCGGTAACTGCCTGCGTTGTTGTTTTATTAATGATGTGCTTTATCCTGTTGCAAAAAGTTTGGACTTGTTATGTTGTTTTAACTTGGTTAATATGAGTTTGCAACATCGTAGAAATCAAATGATGTATTGCAAACCAGGAGGAAAAAGAGCAGACACATTTTGAGCTTCTCAACTCACTTGGCTTACGGTTCTGAGAACTGGAGTTCGCATAAGGTTGAATGTCGGAAGTCTTACGTTGCATTAATCCGCTCCAGTGGGTTATTCTGGCAGGAGCTTTGACTTTGGACACCGCTGAGGTACTAGATGTCGTGAGGCCACGCACGCACTTTCGGAGCAGACATGGAGGATTGCTGATGGTTGCAAACGGTACACGCCTTTGCGGCGGTGTGCACAGTTATGCAAATCATGACGTGGCTTGGTTCCGCCTCGCTTTGCAATGAATGGTGAGTTGCGTGTACCCAGGCGGTACACGTGCAGTTGCGTGCAGATACACGAACCCAAGTGTGGCGCAGGATATTCCAACTGCCGAGAGCCTTGCGGGCATCAGCAAACTAACGCATATAGAGAGGCCTTCGATGGATGTGTGCCACCAAAATAAGAATTTGATGAACCCGCTATGGCACAACTTAAGCTGCCTCTGGCTTTTCACGTTATGTCGTGTCGATATGTGCAGAAGACATACGTTATTCGCTTTCATTCAGAACGAATATGATAACAAAGGAGCTTTTCCAAGCTCCTAGCTGTAACAGTGAACATGCTGGGAGGCAGGATGCCCGAGTGACATATTTTCAGGCGCCGTCGGTCGGAAAGTTTTCAACCGTGACGTCTGTTTCCCCGATTTAATGGATTATCGGTGTATCTTTTTCTGGCAAGGTTAGTTTGGGCACACACTCAGCCTGAGTGAGTAAATTTGTTCGGGGCTGAATTCAGGGCTCTAATCACGAAGCTTTTCGAAATCAATTGCGCGTCCCTTTCCAACTCGGCAGATCTACAGATGGAGTTTTTCGATGAATGAGAGCGATTGCGCAAATGCTTCATGGCTAAATGCTTTGAAACTTTCGCACTCTGACGGCTCCCGCTGTGCCGCAGTTCACCGGTGTCGTGCGGCACAGTCTACACACACCAACTGGCGGCCAAGGCCGGGCGCAGCGTCGCCACGGTTTCATCGCGTTGACGCATGGCTGCACAAAGCCTCGCATGCCGGCTGGACTCTACCACAACAGACTGCAATGCTACGCAACGCGCGGAATAACTTATCATGTAAGGAAAGATACGACGCTGCATATACCTCGTCCTGATAGGGGAACGCACCGACAAATCTCCGAAGGTTTTAAGAGGATAGCTCTTCGTCGTGTCGTGTGCTCGCACTTAGATCTTTGGTGGACTTTGGGGAATCCATTGCGCGTGGTTCGACGCCAAAAACGTCAGGGCTGCACACATAACTGCCTGGTGGGGGGGGGGGACACGGAGCCCGGTGAGTACGCATCAAACCGATGTTTTATTTTCTGTGGGAAGTGTTCTGTGGCGAAATCGAAAAAATCCAAGCGCAGGCCTGTCTTGACTACGCCCATGAAAGACGTGCGTCCGGCATTTCTGGTTTCCGGCGGCTTTCAGGAACACCGCACGGTGATCCACACGGACAAAAAGACGCGTTGACAAAAACATTTGGTTAAATACATTCGGCAAAAGCATATTCGGCCAAGTACATTTCGGTTATTTGCCCGGACACGGTTTTTCGCTGTCAACCGCCGCCAACTGAGGAAATAACGTGCGACCTCACAGGTAAGTGCGCCAGACGCGCCGTGAAGGCAGCGGGAAGTTAAGATCCACGCAGAAGACAGAAAAAACTGACTGAGCTCTTGGAAACTTGTAAAACGCGGCAATGCCACCTTTGCAAACGACCACATACCTCAGTTACTGTTATATATTGTTATACCTCTTTATATATACCCTTATATATACCTTTATCTATACCTTTATATATACCTTTATCTATACCTTAATATATACCTTTGTCTATACCCTTATATACCTCATTTATATAATGCTATATAGTTATAATTATTATACCTCAGTTACATATCTCAGTTATTAACAAGGCACGTGGTCAGAGACATCATCGTCGATCGTACCATCGCCATGCATTCGAGAGCGGTCCATTTGCTTCAAAGACACGACCGGCAATGCGCGTCGGCCGCTGCTAGGCATTACTGTGTAAACAGTCACGACTTACTGCACTGACTTGGGCTTCCGGCCACGTAGGGATAGGGCCTTAGGGGTGACGTCACGGACAAGTCAGGCACCCACGTCACAGGTCAAACAAGCTCACTCGAAGTAGTGAATGAGCTTCCAATTGCCAATGAAGAACGGTACTCACAGTTTAGAGCCCGATCACACATTCCTGCGAAAAACGACGGGAGAAATCAAAGGACTTCCTCTTATATCTCATGGGAAACCTGGTCCCGTTACAGCCCACATGAAAACTTCGGAAACTGTCCACTCCGGCAGAGCGGGCGGGGGGGGGGGAGGACAAGGCGTGGTGGGGGAGGGGAGGGGGTCCAGTCGCTCACCGAGCCTCCCGCCCAACTTCAGTGGCGGTTCGCGTCGACAAGTGAAGTTGACGGCGGACTCGCGCCGACAACTTAAGCTGACCGCGACTCCATTGAAGATTGCTTCCATGTCGCCGTCGGTCGGTCGGTCGCCAAACTTGGCCGACCATTGTCTGCCGGATGCTGTTCTGAAACCGGAGTCGCGCGCGACCAGCGGGGCCGCCGTGCCGGGTCGGCTGTCGTCGGGTTACAGCGCTCAGCTGGTCCGCGCCGGCTCTGGAGCCGGCCGGACGGATCACTATGCTGACCACTCGTCTGCCACGGGCTGAGAGGGCCGGCAGTGTTAGGAGGCTTTTACCGGGCTGGGGTCGGGCAGGACAGGGCGCGTTTCACTGCTGACCCGCGATGCATTTCCGCCGCGCCCCGACGCCCCTGCGCTATCTCAACCAAATGTTGGACGGGGCCTTTGTGAGGGGTACTGTCGGCTGTTACCGGCACTTTCTGGCCGCGCGGCCGAGACGTGATGCATTATTCCGAGATAGAAGGCGTGGCAGCCACAATGGAGGGTAGCAAGAAGCGGTGAAGCGGCCACGGCAGATTAACCCAGCCGCTTGGCGGAGACCGATGGCGGGGCGGAAATTAAACTGGGCGGGACCGAGAGAGAGAGACGAGGTCATCATCTGACGGGAAATAGCGCCGCCAGATGCCCGCTGCCGCTGACGTACAAAAACCACAATTAACTCCGGGCAATGATTACGTCGGAACTGGCCCCAAAAAAACTGTCAAGTGATCTGGCGAGGGAAGACAGAATTTTTGCTCAGTTCCAGCGGGTATTAAGGAAATTGGCAGTAGCATGGAACTCGCTGAAGACTCCGGCACATTCTGGGCACTGCTGGCCGTGATGGATGTCAGTGTCACTGACAAACTGACAGCTCCACACTCACCTACTTGGCAGCCAACTTCGAGGTCAGAGGTGCCAATGTCCGGCAGTGTTGGAGAGGCTCCAGCGCAGGGCTTGGCATGCTTTGGCGGTCGCCGTTGTTGTGCAGTGCACCAGTCGGCGGCGACGAGTGCTGTGCACAGTGCGGTGATGCTGTGCACTGAGCGTTTTGTCATCAGGAAATTAGATATTGCCCAAAATGCTGTCCGACGCCTACAGAGCTCAAAGGTATAATGTGTAGGAATGTATTATATTTGTTGTAGAAGGACCACTGCTGTATTTTTATTGTAGCAGAACAATCTATGCTGTTTATGATATGCCTGGACGATGATTTTGTATACTGGATATTGAACTCAAGTAACGTAAGGTGTCAGCTCTTTTCAGGAAGCCATCAAGCTTTGTAACATAATGATATTGCAGTGCTGTGGAAAACGGAGATCGTGTTTGTCAGTTTCTGGCA